GGTGACTAAAGCAGAGTGAAACAGTGGAAGCAGCAGAAGCTGTTACAATGCCTGCCTTCTTCCAAGCTGCCTCTTCGTACCTCTGTTAGGCTCTCCCTAAAGTCTGCGGGGGCCAACTGATTTCAGCTCTGGCAGATAGACTTTTACAGTCAGTGTCTTAAATGCAAACCATTGGGTTCAGTTAAGTCATCCTATAGAAGTTTGAGTAAAGACTGTCCCTGTTCAATTTGTTTCTCTGTGTGGCTAGAAAATGAAGGGATGAACAGGTGGAAAATAAGTTTGCGAAAGAAGGAAAAAAGCATGCAATTCAAGGCGGAATACATGTTTTCAGACTCAGTCTCTAGAGGTAGAAAGAGTATGTTTATTTCCTCATGATAATGGAGGACTGTGCTCATGTTCATGCCCTACTCCAAGTTGTCTGCATTGTCCAAATGATGCCCAGTCATCTGGACCACATCACAGCTGGTGAAGCTGGGAGAGAAGGGAGTTAAATTCTGGCATGGCAAACTTCAGCCAGCACTTGTCCAACAGAGAAGAGACGTAACGACCTTGACCATTCCTAGGCAGAAAGTGATCTTCACACTGCTTGCTGCCCAGACTCTGCTCCTGACATGACTCTGGAAAAAGGTTCATCTCTGAAAAGCTGCTATTTTCTGGCTTTCCAGAGGCTGATATGTTTGCATCAAACAATTGGCTAGAAGAAATGATGTAAAAGCAGCAGAAAAGGCTGACTGCAACAAATACTTCTTGCTGTAACAAAGGCTATTGGAGGGGCTGCCTCCCACAGAAAGTGATTTGAAGTTGTTGAACAGACGTTGCTTGCTTTTTAACGTCTGGCAGAGTCCTAGCAGTCTGCACTGCATCTCACTAGAGAATCCAAACTACTAAGCAGTGATGAGAAAGGAGAACAAAAAAAAAAAAAATAAACCAAGTGAGGTATTGAGAAATGGAGGTAGCAAAATTAGAGGTAGACTGCAATTTATGATTTGGAAGCCAAAGAGAGCTCTCCAGGCGATTGAGAAAGCTGCCTTTGGTTGCAGCGGCTCTCCTTACAGCTTTGAGTGGCCAGCTTCTAGATTGCTTTGGTTTGTAGTCACGGATAAGCACTCCCTCTGGAAATTACTGAAAACAGCCTGCCACATCAGCTCACAAACTTATAAAGTTATATTTTAATTGTGTTATTAAACCTTTCTCACTTCTGCTTTTGTTTGTTTACCTTCCTGATTCATGTGGATCAAGCTGTGCTGGAACAGGAATGTGGTTCCTCCTGAATTGTGCTGTTTATTTATAATAGGACATGTAGTAATAATGGGTGAAACCCACTGCCCAGAAGCAAGGTGGAATTTATCTTACTCTTTCTATTAAAGGACTGAGGTTGGAGGTGGGGTAGGGAGGTACTATAGAAACGGGCTTTAGTATCAGGGAAAGAATTTTGTTCCTGTTTCATTTGGTATAAAGCATCCAGATATAGGTTGATGGACAGAGGTCATCATCTCTGTTCTCACCTTAGCTATTTCCTGCCTTTCCCAATCCTTTTCTCTTTCCTCTGATTTGAAATTCATCTGTGTCTGGTCCAAGGGACTCATTTTAGTGGGCTGGAGTAGCGCTTCCCCTCAGAAAGGTTATGCTAAGTAGTTGAAAAAATTAAATATACTCTTTTGGCTCCAGGACCGGTTAGACAGAATTTCTGCTGGGACTGGGGGGAGGAGGAGCTGTAGATGACACTGGTTTTTTCCTTTATAAGCAGTGTATATTAGCTGCTTTGAACAAATTACTGAATTTGCTTTTTAATTCTATGTGGTCACAGTTGTGTTCTGATCCTTGTATGACAGAAGTCATACAAGACAGAAGCTCGTGTTGTATGTCTAACTTGAATCCATAGGTGATTGCTTTTAAAAAAATGCTGATGTTTGCCAGATATTAGTAAAGACTATGGGAGAGAACACTGCTATTGCTTAGAGTGAGACACACCATTGACCTCTCAGACACTTTCAGTAGCCATCGGTGCAGTTCTACTACAGTCTCTGTTCTTTATCATTTAGCTCCCCCATCACACACAGCTGTGTGACACTGCTAAAGCAACATGCCATAGAGGTGAGCTCTAGGGACTTTTTGGGAACTTTTCTGGCAGTAGAATAAATCATTGGTTTGTTAACACAAGCAAACAATTGTATTAAATAAGTTAATAAATTGATTTAATACATTGATTAAATAATACCCCTTAGCCTGGATACACCCAAATTCTCAGTTGTGCACATGTAATTCAGATTCTGAGGGAAACTTACTACACACAGACTCATGTATAAAGTGTTGAACAGGAACAATGGGAGCTATCGGCTGTTATCTGAATGAAGTAATTTTGCCTGAATATTTCAAGATATTATTAGTTTTCCTACAATAACAAATGATCCTCAGCTCTTTGATCAACTTGATATTACAGCAAAAGAAGAGAAGGAATAAAAAGAGAAAGGAATTGCCATCTGTCATCTTTGGCTAATTATTTCGAGCCCTACCTTGTTTTATACACTGCGGCACATTATTTTAGGACTTGTTAACTGAGAAGTCATCTACTCTGCAAGAGTATAAATGAGTTCACCTCTAGCGAGTTCCCCACCACGCAGCATGTTGTGCCATCATTTCATACAACCTTCGTCCCAACATAATCTCATGATTTATTAGTTCAGTCCAATCTATTTTATCCTGCTCCCACAGCTGAACTGGCTTTTGTGTAAGACTCTGTTTTGTCACTTTTTTTTGTGGGTGTATGGGGAAGGAGAGGGAACAGGACTGCATTCCTCCAAACTCCTGTTAGTAGTCCAACACCTTGGCATTAGCTCTTCTGCAGTTTTTGGAGTGAGCCAGTAAATGAAGGAGCTCTCTGCAAGTGTGTAGGGACCAAATCAGGCATCAGGTACTCATCTCAAAAGATGTTTGCACTACTCATGTGAAAAGCAATACACAACGTGTTTCTTCAGAGGGGACACAGGGGCCCTCTGCTTCCACCTACCCTGAGGATGTAGCACCCCAAAGAACCATGCAAAGTGAGGAAGCAGCTTCATTACTACAGACTTTCCCAAAAATTCCTCTTGTGCCCTGAGATGTGGATTATCTAAACACAGGCCACATTTTTTTTCCCCCCTTATAACTGAACTACTTTAGCATTCTGGGTGAATTGAGACTTGTTTCTTTTTAACTCTCTTGCTGAAATTTTTGTTGCTTTCTCATTAGTTTTTTAAAGGTTCAGGTTCATCAGGCTGCATAAAATAGGATCTAGCCTCATTTTGTAAGTGCTGACAGTTGTCATACTCACTATCTTTTGTTTTCACAACAAAATGTGGGTTTTTTTTAGTTTAGTAATGTTTTTCAATATAATTGGACAGCAAGTTTCCAGATAAATTTTTAAAGTCTAAATATGTTGAAACAGAGTGATTAAGACTTTAGTCAATCAACAAGAAAGAAACAAGCAAGCTTTCAGAAAATACTAAAATCTCTCTAAAATTTAGATCCCTGTGAGCTTTTTAAAAAGCAGGGAGGGAAATGAAAATTATCTTTCAGTGGCTGTTTAATTTTTTTTTTAATGAAATGGCTACATAGCCTGAGCTAAAATCCTGAATTTGTGCATTTTAAGCTTTGGTATACTTGGAGATAAACTGTGGTATTTTCCTCCATAAAAGTAAGCCTATTTTAAGTAAGAACTACAAGTGGACAGTGATGGTAGGAAAAGAGATTTTTTTTTTTAGAGAGCCCCATGGGAAGGCTACTAAATGTCATCCCAAGACTCTGAACTTCCCCACAGGCATCCATTTAAAAACACCACATAAGATCAAACTCAATGATTACACCGTGGCTGTATGAATTTGTTCCAAATTTAAAAGACTTCCAAATATTCAATCAAACTGGAATCAGGGTCAAATGTTTTGAAAAACAGTTTTATATGCCCTGATTATATTTCACTTCACTAGTTATCTCCTGTTTTTAACAAGGACAAGCAGCAGAGCAAAGCTATTTTTGCATCAAGCTCATCTAAACCCAAGTAAGAGTAGAATGCATGTGCAGATCCCCAGAGGACTGAAAAACAGGAATTCAAACCACTTTTCCAAGATTGTTGGTTTTTTCATTCCAAAGAGTGTAGACCATGCCAAAAAATACCAGAAGAATCTCACTTCTGTCTTTTCTACACTAGCAGCATTCTTAACATGAAAATTCACACACGTTATTCAAAGAAAATCAACAGACTGCAAGAAGGCAATCTAAAGCTTAGCCTGTCTTTATTTTTTTATCTATCTAATTAATTTCTTTCTTTGACATATATTTCAATATTTCTTATGTCATTGAAAACTATAGGATCAGTGAATGACATTTCTTCTACATACCTGCCACTTGAAATAAAGTCAAGCAACAAAGAACAAAGAGTATATTCAGGAGAAAAGTAGAAGAGAATAAGCAAAATACGGAAAAAAGAGTCATTACTTAAACTTATGCTGTGTGCTGCATAGGAATGTAAACTAGAATCAGTCACAACCCCCCCATCGTTTCAACATCTCTGTACCTATAGCATTGAAAAAATCCTTACTTCAGGATACCGAAGATTAATGTAAACCTGATAAAAGAGAGAGAATATATACATACCAGTAATTAAGCAGGGTGGGTGAACTGCCCAGATAACTGTGGCATGAAGAGTGAAATGCAGTGTATCTGTATTATAAGAACTACTCCATCAGAAAAAAAATATTAACTGGTAGTAGGCAGCTGTGGATTTTGCATCTTCTTAAAAATCTTTCAGTTTTTATACTCGTTAATAATAATTATTACTGGCTTGGCTGAGGCAAGCATCTAGAGTACTATAATAAACAGATCTGCTGTTATTCCCCTAGTTCAGAAAACATAGCGCAACTGAACGATGAGAGACTACAGACTGACGTGAAGAAATGAAACATTTTTACGGACATCAGAAAGTTAGAAAGAAAGCATAACTTGACAAAACATCACTTATTAGTTACCTGTCCCAGAGAGTAGGTGAAGATTTTGCGAGCCTGCCCTGGAGAATTCTAGGTTGCCATAGGCAGGTTGGCACCCAGGAATTTCGTACCCTGCAGCATGAATAGAGGATAAACCATGGCTAGGTATGGCTCATAAGACATACGAGTGATAACCTAGCTAGATTTGCTGCATATTAGTAGGCTATGGAATAATTTGGTACTAATCATTATTCAGGATACCTTACTTTAAAGCAGTATTAAAAGTACAGAAGAAGGTGATGTTACAGCACACACATTTAGTGATTTTCTTGTATGACTACTGTAGGTCAGAATAAGCATTTATAATTGAACTTATGATGGCTGTAAATGGGTGCTATTCCATCTATTTTACTGGAGAAGCATTTGGTCTTAAGATTTGTGAATCAAGCCCTTATATTTTTGCATTGTAAAAACATCAGATTAAATAAATTTACGCTTCATTGAAAGAAGGTCAGCAAAATTCCTTCTGAGCACCATAGTGAGAACATGTTTAACAGTTTTAATTAAATCTGGGCTGAGGTTCAAGTTCCACATACCAGGTTCCATGCACATCTACCAGCAGCAGAACAATAGCTGCAAAATATTTGTTGGAAATGAAAAGCACAAAGAGAAGCAATCTGAACTAGCAATATAAGCTATGAATAACACACAGCAAAAGCAGATCCAGGGCCCAGGAGAAGGCCAACAAGGCAGGCAAATTAGCAATGAGAACTGTTGCCCAACATTAGCATCAAGCAATGCTGGTAAGATTCAAAACACTCTGTTCAGTCCTTAGTCAAGCGAATTCTCACTCAAGTCAAAGGTGGTTTTTCCTGAGTAAAATCTGAGTAAGGACTACAGTATTTGGCCACGTAGAATGCCTCATACAGTTTTGCTGTGTTCCTTTGCAATATCAGAAATGCAACATAAGATGCCTTGAAGGATAAACTCAACAAAAGATCAATTTTTCCTCACTCAAGCATAGTCATATTTATGAGCCAGAATTTTTGCATAAGCTTTCCCTGTGGTCAGTGGTCACTACACATGCAGAAAATCCAGCCTTCCAGTATTTATGATCAATTACCAGTGGGTACTGCAAAGTAGGGACATTCTGTACTGTGAACACATCTTTACATACAGGATACATTTCAGGAGCAATAACTGTGCTACAGAGAGCAGCAGAGAATCTCAGTGTTTATGGGAATGTGGAACTCTGCCGAGCCTCTCACCACTGCTGTAAGTCCACCCTGGGATTCACTGCATGTCAAGAACTACCAGCAGCAAGATGATGCTCTTTAAGGCACTCTGAGGAAAAGCACTAAGTGAATTCCAGCATGCTACCCTAGTTGTACCACTGAGCTGTTCATTGAATAAGGAAGGAATATTTAAGTATATTTTAACTTCTTCTGTACCGGACTTGGATTAAGTATGTGAAGACACCCAGGGACGACAGAAAAAATGAGATGGCCTGAAGTTTCGGTGTTGTCATCACATGAATTTACAGCAATATTAGCTTTAAAATCAAAGTGGAGGTGAGAATAAATCTCTGCAATCTGTAATACCTCAGTATTGTCAGTCCTTCAGTAAACTGCCAGTATTACTTTGGATTATGTATCTCTCACAGCTTTTCTGATGTTCTCGAACTGCAAATCTCATAATCAATAGGTGTGTACTTATCTAATACATACCAGTTCTGTGGTACTTCACTGTTTGTTTTCATTCTCAGCTGTGGGTGTCAGGAAAACAGTCCATTGTACGAATAGAGATTTGAAAACAGTCTCTACCTGGCTCTCCATTTTGTATCTGCATATTTTTAAGTACAAAATTGTAAACTGCTCCTAAAAATCAGGTCTTTGAAATCTTAATTTTGGAAAAAATCAGTGAATCCAGCCACAGGTTTTTCTAGAACTGGGGGAGATTTTTCAAATTAGCGCATTTTGCATATTTCTCTGCACTTCATTGAGAAACCTGTCATAGTAGTTTTCTAATGAAATAACAAAACTTGCAAATTCTGATATGGATGAAATGAAAGCATTGGGTTTTTCAAGCCCACAAAATTAATTGAATTTGGGCTCTTGGAGCAAAGAAGCCATTTGAGCAGGGAGAAATCTCTGCTGTCTTCAGATCCATTACCAGCTCTCTTCCATGTAGTCTTAATCTACCCTATCTCATACCTTTTACCGATATATGATATATAGCAAATAGCTTTGCTATAGATAATCTTGACAAAATATTTTAAGGCTATGAGGCTGTGAGATGCTTTGACAGAGAGGGGAGGGTTGTGAATTCCACTTTAGCTGTTGGCTCAGTGTTTTTCCTGATATCTTTTCGGTAGTAAGTTCCCTGTAATTGCTCCATAAATGAGCTAATGCAGAGAAAAGCTCTCTGCTCTAAATGTGGTGGGTCTTTCAAAAGCTCCCCAAAGGGATTTAATAACATCCTGTCTCAGATAATCACTGTCAGTTGTAGTCAGTCTAATCACATTCTCATGTGCAAGGTTGAAAAATAATTAGTAACTGTAAGATTTATTTATTTGCCTGATATACAAACACAAAAATTAATTTGTCAGCTTCTGCAATTTACATGGAATATTGTTTTAGCATTGTCAAATCAGAAATCAGCAAAACATACATATATTTTTGTCTAAAGCAACTGTAAATTTTAAAGGAAACAAAATGGAAAAAGCTCCCAGTTCTGTTACTGTGTTGTTTCCTTTCTGAAACAAGTTGTAAGAAATTTGTAAACATTGAAAATAGTAAACAAGCCTATTTAAAAAGAATATTGTATAGTTACAGTATACAAATAATAGTTCACTACAGGAAAAATATCAGTCCCAAAAACCTGGTGATAAAGTATTTCAGACTACCAAATTTTAAAATTACTTTTTATCATGCCGTAGCATGATAAAGTAACTAATTTTCCTCTTCTTTCTACAGAGCTTCACTTATCCCTCACTGACGTGATTGAGACTGACTCCAGTGTCAAGTGAGTTTCGAATTTAGGCATACTGTTGTAATAGCCTGTGTTTCCTTGTCTAGTCCTAGAACATGCGGTATGTTACTTCAAATATTGTCTCTGGCTCATCTGACAATAATCACAGAGGATACTTACAGACCTACAGACAATTTGAAGGAAAAAAAAAGGTGGATTTCTCAGTGAAACACAATCAACAATTTATTTCACTGTCTAGAGAACAACAACTAAAAATTCTTCAGTTTTGGTGGCAGATGGTGATCGATCCACTGTGCCTGGAGTAGACTCATATATGCTGCTTTTTCTATTTAAGAAATACTGTTATGAGAAAAGTAAACACAATGCCCCTTATGGTCCTCTCTCCATATTTCATTGGTGAGTAAAATTTATAGCATCTGATACATATAAAGATCCCTGGTTCACATACCACTCCTCAAAAACACTGATCTTTTTTTATGGTAGGTATATTGGGTTTGCGTGGCAAGGTTTTGGTAGCAGGAGGGCTACAGAGGTGGCTGCTAGAAGCTTCCCCTATGTCCAACAGAGCCAATGCCAGACAGCTCCAAAATGGACCTGCCGTTGGCCAAGGCCAAGCCAATCAGCAATGGTATTTAACGTATTTAAGAAGGGGAAGAAAACCTGCACAACTGCAGCTGGAAACAGGAGTGAGAATATGTGAGAGAAACAACTCTGCACACACCAAGGTCAGTGGAGAAGGAGGGGCAGGAGGTGCTCCAGGCACTGGAGCAGAGATTCCCCTGCAGCCCGTGGTGAAGACCATGGTGAGGCAGCTGTGCCCCTGCAGCCCATGGAGGTCCATGGTGGAGCAGATATCCATCTGCAGCCCATGGAGGACCCCATGCCAGAGCAGGTGGATGTGCCCAAAGGAGGCTGTGACCCTGTGGGAAGCCCATGCTGGAACAGGCTCCTGGCAGGACCTGTGGCCCCGTGGAGAGAGAAGCCCACGCTGGAGCAGGTTTGGTGGCAGGACTTGTGACCCTGTGGGGACCCATGCTGGAGCAGTCTGCTCCTGAAGGACTGCACCCCATGGAAGGCACCCACGCTGGAGCAGTTCATGAAGAACTGCAGTCCGTGGGAAGGACCCATGTTGGAGAAGTTCATGGAGGACTGTCCCGTGGGAGGGACCCCACACTGGAGCGGGGGAAGAGTGTGAGGAGTCCTCCCCTGAGGAGGAAGGAGCAGCAGAGACAACGTGTGATGAACTGACCACAACCCCCATTCCCCGTCCTCTGGGGCAGAGGAGGTAGAGAAAACTGGGAGTAAAGTTAAGCCTGGGAAGAAGGGAGGGGTGGGGGGAAGGTGTTTTAAGATTTGGTATTATTTCTCATTACCCTACTCTGACTTGATTGGTAATAAATTAAACTGATTTCCCCAAGTTAAGTCTGTTTTGCCCGGATGGTAATTGGTGAGTGATCTCCCTGTCCTTATCACGACTCACGAGCCTTTCATTGTGTTTTCTCTCCCCTGTCCAGTTGAGGAGGGGGAGTGTTAGAGCAACTTTGGTGGCACCTGGAGTCCAGCCAAGGTCAACCCACCACAGTAGGATACACATGGTTATTTTACAAATGCCAATGCAAATCTGACTGATTTTTCTGAAATAATGTGTTTTTCAGAAGTTGGAGAATTTCATGGCTGCTCCACTTGTGAGTGGAGGACTTAGTGAATAGACCTTAGCAGTCTCTAAGCAAAAGCCACCCCAAATCTTGCATCTGTTAAAGGGAGAAGGATTTTCTGTAGAGCAGGAAAGAATGTGTCCTGGTCTGATTTTAGCTTAAACTCAGTGCTCTTTAAGACCTGAAGGGGATTTGAAAGTCACCCTTAAACTGGGTTGTGCTGTTATGATTTCTCTACTTGCCCAATATAGCCCTGTTTTACCCCAGTATGAAGTTTAGCTATTTTTGCTTCTATTAACACCATACAGCTATTTTAAGGGCATGCTTTTATAAACACTAATAACCCCGGATGAAACATTGACAGAGCAAGCTGGAAGAACTGCAGGGACACCTTGGAACATACTGTCACGACTCTACCTCCACATCCTGTCCTCAGTGAAGAGGCACGTGGCAGTGATGCTGATTTAGCATCACAGATTTGCAAGA